TGTTTACCAGAACCTGGTGTTTCAGAGGTGTCTCTTCTATGTGTGTTGTATGTGTCCTACTGTTGTGGCCTTGCCACATTTGCCTTCATTTCAGTGATCTGCTGTGGCTCTCTTTGCCTATTAGGGACATGGCTTGTTCCCTCGGTTGTTAGTGGGCCAGTCTGAGGCCACCTTGGGCTTGAGTTGGGTCAGAGAAGGTATTTGCCAGTGCTGTGGTCACACATGAACTGCAAGACACTCCTCCTGTATTGTGCCCTGAGAAGCTTTCGTTGGTGGGCAGGGTCTCCAGTCAGACCAGATGTCTTCCCTAGGCCCACTAAGGGGCCACAGTTGAACTGCTGTATGTTGTTTTCTTCCCTTCTCCCCAGGTCAGAAATACCTGTGGGATGGTGCTGACCCCTGCTGAGACTCCTTCCACACTGCCATGCTTGTGGCACAGCTTTGGGTGGATTCCTGCCCCAGGTATATTGGAGAAGGTGGGTTCACAGAAGAAAGTGGGGTCAGGGCATGTGGTATTAGCAAGGTGTGTGCAGGTCTGCCATGGCAGGGGACCTGTACATGCTTTCCAAAGATCCTATGAAGGCTGTGGTAAAGGGGACAGGTCCATTGAAGAGCACAGGGGATGGGGCATGCTGTTAGCAAGCTAGGTGGAGACTGTTCATGCTCCACTGGGTCCTACAGATGTCCATGTGTCGAGTCTGGGAGAGTGGGGTAGGTAACAGGGGCCACTAGCTCTTTTGTTCTTAGAGATATCTCCCAATGATCCCTGCCCCTCTAGCACATGCTCTGAGACTAGAAAACAAATATCCTTCCTGTATACTCCTGACATTTTTCAAACTGCTGCTGTTATGCTGTATCTAAGTGGGACTGTTTGTTGTACTGTTTTTTTAAGGCTATGGATTCAGTTTCTACCTTCTCTCCTGCTTTCCAATAGCCAAGCCTGCTGATTTTTAAAGTTCCAGGTGTTAATCCACACTGATTGTAAGAACTGGTGAAATTAGGCCCTTCTGCTTTTCAGAGCCAAATATTTATGGGAAGTTGACTTCCCAGTGTAGGTCTCCCATTCCTGGAATGCCTGTTGTGGGGATCTCCTCCTCCCCAATCTCCATGCCCAGGGCATCCCTCCTTTCCATGGACAATCCTGTGGATCCGTTTGTCTCCCTAAAGCATCTCTGCCCTTTTTACCCACTTTGATGTGGCCTCTTCTCTACATTTAGCTGTGTAGGGGCTGTTATGCCAGTCCCGGGTCATTTTCTGGATTATTTACAACGATATGGTTCTTACCTACATGTATCCATGGGATGAAGTGAGCCTAAGATCCTCCTATTCTGCCATCTTCTTCGGCAAATACATCTTGTTACCTTTTTGAGTTAGTGTATTTGTTTCCTTTAGATAAATACATAGAGGTAGAATTGCCGGATCATATGTTGGTTTTATTTTTACATTTTTGAGGAAACTTTGTACTGTTTTCCATAGTGGTTATACCAATTTACATTCCTGCTAACAGTGCACAAGGGTTCTCCTCTTTCTACATCCTCACCAACATTTGCTATTTCTTTTCGTTTTTTTTTTTTTATATATATATAATAGCAATTCTAACAGGTGTGAGGTTCTTTCATTGTGGTTCTTATTTGCATTTTCCTGATGATTACTGACGTTGAGCACATTTTCATGTACCCATTTGTCTTCCTTGAAAAAATGCCTATTCATATCCTCTGCCCATTTTTCAATTGGATTTTGTTTTTGTTTGTTTTGTTTTTTGGTATTGAGTTTTATGAGTTCTTTATATATTTTTGGATGTTAGCTCCTTATCAGATACATGATTTGCAAATATTTTCTCCCATTTGTTAGGTTGTCTTTTCATTTTGTTAATTCAAAAAAATTATTGCCAAGACCAGCGTCAAGGAGCTTACCACCTATGTTTTCTGCTAGGTATTTTATTGTTTCAAGATTTCCATTCAAGTCTTCAATCCATTTCGAGTTAATTTTTGTGTATGCCCTAAGACAGTGGCCCAGTTTCATTCTTTTGCATGTGGACATCCAATTTTCCCAACCCCATTTATTGAAGAAACTATCCTTTTCTCATTGTATATTTTTGGTTCATTTTTCATAAATTAATTTATTATATATGTCTAGATCTATCTTTGGGTTCTGTATTCTGTTGCTTTTGATCTATACGTCCATTGTATGCCAATACGATACTGTTTTGATTAATATAACTTTGTAATATACTTTGAAATCAGGAAGCATTATGCTTCTAGCTTTGGTGTTCTTTCTCAAGATTGCTTTGGTTTTCAGTCTATTGTGGTTTCATAAAAATTTTAGGATTATTTGATCTATTTCTATGAAAAGTACCATTTGAATTTTGATAGGGGGTTGCATTAAATCTGTATACTGCTTTGGGTAGTATGGATATTTTAACAGTATTAATTCTTCTAATCCATAAGGATAGAATATTTTTTCCATTTATTTTTGACTTTATAATTTCTTTCATCAATGTCTCATAACTCCAGTGTATAGGTCATTCACCTCCTCAGTTAAATTTCTTCCCAGATATTTTATTCTTTTTGATGAAATTGTAAATGGGATTGTTTTCTTAATTTCCTTTTCTAGTAGTTTGTTATTAATGTACAGACATGAACTGATTTTTGCATATTGACTTTGTATTCTACAACTTCACTGAATTTATTAGTTCTAACAGTGTTTTGTTATAATCTTTAGAATGTTCTATATATATTTTATCATGCCATCTGCCACAGAGACTGTTTTTCTTCTTTCTTTTCAATTTGAATGCCTTTTATTTATTTTTCTTCCTTAATTGCTCTGACTGAATTGAGTAAACGTGGCAAGAGTGGTCATTCTTGATTTGTTGATCTTAGAGGAAAAGCTTTTGTGTTTAGTCACTGAATATGACGTTAGCTGTAGACTTGTCATATATGGCCATTATTATGTTGAGATATATTCCCTCTCTATGCCCATTGTTGAGTTTTTATGATAAACGGATGTTGTAAGATCATATATTATAAACTCTACGTTAAAACACATGACCTGGTAATATTTTTTTTCCATCCAAAGCTGCCTATAGGTAGTCTAGAAAAGGCAGCAAGTTTGCCAAAATGTTGGAGGGTTTTTTTGTTTGGTTTTCTGATATTCCAATTTGTAATACAATAGTAAAAGACGATATTTTAATTGAAGCCTATACCCAAAATTCTAGAGTAGATGATTGGCTTAAATATGGGATCTATTCATTAACAATGTTCCTATAACATTACATCATTTTATGTGAATGAACTGAAAACCTGAGTAAAAACATAGAGGTGAAATTCTATATTATCAGAATCCACTGAATAATATACAAGAACACTAGTAGCAGAAAATAAAGGCTTTAATGTTGTCCACATAACATATTCTCTTCCTGCTACTCCCACATTTATTCATATACCAACCCTGTGCTGATGTTTTGTTTTTAGTGTATATATAATTTAGACTGTAACTTAGTGCTAACAACCTCTGCATTGCTTTATTTCAGATAACAGGAGCATTATAAGCTTAAATGCATAATTGTTATATATTCTGATTGAAGTATTGTATCTCTTTAGAAATCCATTTTACATAATATTAATTACAGTTATATTCTGTGTTAGAGTTTGTTTCCCTCTAACATCCAGAGGCATGAAGTTCATTCCATATGTAATTTCAGGTCAACACAGGATGCTTAATTAGCAACTAGTTGAACTGGTAAAATTGTAAAACAATTCCACTCTGATCATTTTAGCACCTATAATAATATTTCATACACAGTTAACTCATAGAAATGATAACTGATACTATCTGGCTCAATTTTCCACCCAATACAACAATTCATTGGCCACTGGCCATTCAGTTTCCAATTAACCTCAGTGATGGGGACTTTACTACTTGATGAGGTTATATATTTTATGGTTTGACAGCTCTGGATTTTAGACAATCCTACAGCATTTAAATGTTCAGAGTTCAGCCTATTTCTTGGCAATTGACTCTTATGGCAGAAATGAAACTATTAATAGTATTAAACCAACAAGTTTTGGGGGATACACGGGAGGCTCAGTTGGATAAGCGTCCAACTCTTAATTTTGGCCCAGGTCGTGATTTCACAGTTTGTGAGTTCAAGCCCCACATCAGGCTCTACATTGACAGTGCAGGCCTGCTTGGGATTTTCTCTCTGTCTCTCTTTCTCTCTCCCTCTGCCCCTCCTTGCCTGCCTCTCTCTCTCTCTCTCTCTCTCTCTCTCTCTCTCTCTCAAAATAAGTAAACTTTTAAAAAATGACAATTTTTTTATTAATTCCCTTTACAGGTAGGGTGAATTTTATAAGAGAGGGTGTAGGTCATATAAACAAAGGTTATGCTGTGTGTCTTGTTCAGAAAAATAAGACACAATCATTGCCCCCAAGTATCAAAACTGACACTGCCCTTTTTACTCTATTTCAAGGGTCTATTCTAAATCTCAATACTAGCCTCTAGTTCCCTATGTTCTTCTCCCTAAACACTCAACTGTTGTTTACCACTGTTATTTCTATTAACTGAATTTCCTTACCCCAAATTCTTGTCTTCAGTTTAGTGGCGTACCTCTTTTGGCTTGCTCTTACTTGAGGTTTCTTGACGCTATAATGTACCCTGGTTTTCACTGATCCAACTCTTGATTCTGCACAAGAGGCTCAAGGCCTTTTTCTAACCTCCCTTATTAATGATTTACAAACAGATAAAAACTTTAAAGAAATATTCGGCAAGGATTTTGAGAGCAACAAAGGGGAAGATAGATGGGTCAAATCAGCACACTAGCCATAGGAACCATGGCTACAGCCGAGTGATGACAGAGGGCTCACTCACTGCTTTCTTTAAACTTGCCACGTTTCTCCTTAAGTGAGCCAGTTTGGGATTGGAATTAAGCAGAAGAAAAAAGTAGTGTATATGGAAGATGCTGTGTGCTTTTTGTGCTAATCTGATGCCCTTAACATTTTTAGCTAAAACTTCAGGACTCATGAAGATCAAGTATACAGCACATTACAACAAGTCCCACTGAGGCATGGGTGGCCCTGGAGCAGGTGAGTGTCTCGAGGGATCATTATCTGGCTGGAAGTACTTTAAGAAGAATGTCTGTGGCAGAGATCTAAGGAGCTCACAAAATTCAAAGCAAAGTGTTTGGATCTCTATTCGAAATTTTTTGACAAGCGCTGCAAGGTGCAGAGGTAAGAATTACAAAGGTCCCATTTCTCAGCCTCCCCTGCTCCCCTGCAGTTTCCATTGATTTCAAAGACTTGGCAGGCTTGGATCAGCTCTGTGGGGCATGGACCCAGGCAAGGAGTGGACCAAAGACGAGAAAAAAGAAAAGCTGAACAGGGGAAAGAAAAGTTCTATGGATGAATTTTAGTACAGAAGATTGCCCCTTTCTTCTGACCCACATAGGGGCTAATACAGCTGAGCTAAGCATCCAGCATATATATATATATATATATATATATATATATATATATGCACCAGCATATATATATGTGTGTATATATATCCAGCATATATATGTGTGTGTATACACATATATATATGCTGGATGCTTAGCTATATATATATATATACATGTTTATAATAGAAACTATATTCTATGTAAGATACAGATACACATGATTATGTAGCATATGCAGAAAATAAAGTGCATCTGTTCTTTTTTCAGTAAAACTGAACCCGAGGGAAACTTGGATAGGAACAGTAAGGGTATTAGAGAATGTCACCATAAATCTTAGTGCTCTTTGTTACCAATTAACCAGTGATTATATTTCATCAGCAAGACTATAGTGAGAGATACCATATTATTCAAGTTGATTTAGGGCCTGAGTAATAAAAGCTCAGACAGTGAGAGATTTGCTATGAAAAAACTGTATTCTTATGAAGACTTTGGAAACGAGGTATATTTCTATGTCTATTCTGTAAGTCTTGGATTTTAATATTTTACATTTAGGTCTTTCACCCATGTGACATGTATTTCTGTGTGTACTGTGGCATAGGAATTTATTTAAACATTTTTATACAGGTAACCATTTATCCCAAATCATTTACTAAGTAACTTCCTTTTCTCAGTAATATACAATTGTACTTCTTTCATATTAGACTTCTATATTCTTGGGTTCATTTCTGGGCTGAGTGTCATTTGCCAATTTTCTACTCCAATGTTAATACCAAATGATCTTAATTCCTATATCTTTAAAATAAATGTTGACATACGGCAGTAATCCCCCCTCCCCACGCCCCGCATACCCTTTTCTCTTCAATTTTTTTTAGTATTTGTTTTGTCAAGTACATTTAAGCTAAGATGGTCCAATTCTGCTAAAACTCTATGGTGATTTCAGTTTAAATTACATTTAAATTCTAGAATAACTTAGCATCCTATACATCTTTATTAAGATTTTGTTTTCCTATCTATTACTAGGTAATCAGGAGATGATTTCCATAGATCCCAAACCTCACATCTGCTCTACCACTGATGTCTGTGTCAGTACACTCTATTTTAAAAGTTTACTTATTTTTGAGAGGCGGAGGGGAGGGGCAGAGAGGGACGGAGACACGCAGTATCAGAAGCAGGCCCCAAGCTGTCAGCACAGAGCCCGATGCAGGGCTTGAACTCATGAGCTGAGAGATCATGACCCGAGTCCAAGCTGGACACATCCAGCTGAGCCACCCAGGCACCCCTATGTCAGTATACTCTAAATGCTGCTGTAGCTGAACAAGCCTTGTCCCCACCTGAAACCAATCCTGCCAGTTTTGCACTCTTTTGCCTTATCAAGCACTTCTCTCCCGCCACTCTGTCCTTTACCTCTTACAACTCTACCAGATTATTCCCATCATTATACAAATATGTTTTCTGCCATCTTCAACAAATAACTTCTCTTGGCCTCATTTCCTTGTCTAGCTCCCGCTGAAGTTCCCTATCTCCCCATGCCACAAAATTACTCAAAAGCTTTATTTTAACTCCACTTCTTCTCCCTCTAACCTCCCTTGAACTCATTGGAATCAGGATTTCTTACCACTCTGTGAAAACGGTTCTTGTCAATATAACCAATGACCTCCACACTGATGCATGCCATTGGATTTCTGTTTTCCTAGAAAATGGTCCAATTCACCTAATTATCAAATGCTTGGGCATATAATTATTTATATACATAATTTTATAAACTTTTCAGTGTTTCTAACATTTGTAGATAGTGACTTTGTCTTTTTTTCCTACCTTATCTCTTCTGTTTTTCTCCTTTCTTTGCAAAGAATGAATGTTTTCCTTTGTTGCTCTTTTATCAGTTTCTACTTTTGCCTTTAATATTTTGTTTTGTTTTACTTTCTGTACTCATTTTACTATTTTTCCCTGCCTTCTTGCAACTGAGACTTAGATCTGTCATTTTCTTTTCTTTTCCTTTTTTTTTAAATAATTTTTTAATGTTTTTATTTATTTTTGAGACACAGAGAGACAGAGCATGAGCAGGAGAGCGGCAGAGAGAGAGGGAGGCACAGAATCTGAAGCAGGCTCCAGGCTCTGAGCTGTCAGCACAGAGCCTGATGCGGGGCTTGAACTCATGGAGTGTGAGACCATGACCTGAGCTGAAGTCGGATGCTTAACCGACTGAGCCACCCAGGTGCCCCTTCTTTTTTTTTTTTTTTTAATAGGTTCCATGACCAACATGGGGCTTGAACTCATGACCCTGAGATCAAGAGTCACATGCACTCCTGACTGAGCCAGCCAGACACCCCAGATCATTCACTTTTAAACTTTTTCTCATGAAAATATTTATGTTTTTAAAGTTTTAGATATGGCATTTTATTACTGTTAACTTCAGGATATTTTCTAAATTTAATATGGTTTTTTTTCTGTGACTCATGAGTTACTTAGACATGTATCTCTCAATTTCCAAACATAACATTTTTCTCTTATCCTTTGGATGTCTACTTAATTGCATTAAAGTCAGGAAATATGCTCTATCTTCTTTAATTCCTTTGAAACTTGTTGAGACTTGCTTTATAATTCAGCATATGATCAAATTCCATACATCTTTTATGTGAGCTTGAAAGGGATGTGAATTCTGCAGCTTTAGTTTGCAGATCTCTATGTAAATCACTAGATCAAGTTTGACAATTATGATGTTTACATTTTTTGTGTTCCTGCTTATTTTTTATCTACTTGTTCTGTCAGTTGCTAAGAGAGTTGTATTAAAATCTCCAGTTGTGATTGTGACTTTCTCGTTTTAATCTTGTAGTCCTATCTTTTTGTTTCATGTATTTAGAGTTCACGTATTAGATGCCTACAAATTTAAAGTTTTCTGATAAATTGGAGGTTTTTTTCACTATGAACGAATCCTTTGATGCCTAATAATGCATTTGCCTCCAAGTTTCTTTTGGAAGGAATTAATCTGTCTTTCTCCATCCTTTCAATGTAACTTTGCTATATATTTTAGATGTCTCTTGTAGGGAGCATGTAGTGAGATTTTATTTATTCTTTTTTTGTTTTCCAACCTGAAGAACTTTTGGTTTTCTTCAACTAGAGCTTTTAATCCATTTCCACATAATATGATCAATGGTATTGTGTTTATTGTGCTTTGTTTCCTTCCTCCCCCATATTCAGTATTTCCTTTTTCCACTTTTCTTTTTTTAATCTGTTGAGGATGTTTTCTTTCTTTCTTTTTCTTTATGTTTTTAGCATCACTAGACTGTAATTTTAACACTTTTCTTTTTTAAGAACCAACTAATTTCAGGTCACTTAGTGATATAGGCAGAGTTCTAAGATGACCCCAGTGATTCATGCTTTTGTAAAACTCCCTCCCCTTGAATGTATGCAGGATTTGTGAATGTGATGGGATATCATTCCCATGATTATATTACCTCTTAAGGCAAAAGGGATTTTGCAGATGTAATGGAGGTCCCTAATCATTTGACTTTGAATTGCTCAGAAGGGAGATTATCCTGGCGGAAGGGGGTACTGACATAATGAGGTGAGCCCCTTAAAAGAGAAAAGAAGCATCAACAAAGAAAAAGAACATGTATTAATAAAAAAAGGATTTAAAAGGCAGATTACTAGCTGACTTCACAACAGCAACAATGAAAATCAGAAGTTACTGGATTCGTATCTTCGATGTGCTGAAAGAAAGTTCATCTAGAATTCTATACTAGACAAAAATGCTTTTCAAAATGAGAGAATGATAAAGAAAAGAGATTTTCAGGCAAGCAAAAAGTGAGTTTTTCACAATATGAAGTCACTAAAAGAAAACTCTGCAGTATATATACTAGTCAGAAGTGACATATTTTAGGTGAATAGCATGAAACATAAGACGGAATAAAGAGCAAAGAAAATGGCTTACGTGTGAAAAAATCCAAATGAGCATTGGAAGTATAAACCATGAAAATCACAATGTCTTATGGCACTAAAAATAAAACAAAATAGACAAACTTTATTAAAAGTTTAAATAGTGTTAAAGTTGCATTATCTGGTTAATTGTAAAATATGAGAAAAATATGCATTAAGCTTTCTAATGTGGTCACTGAATGTATTTTCTGTCTGTGCAGATTAGTACAAACTTAGGACCTTGTAACAAAACCAATAATTTTACAGTTTTCTTGGGCCACGAGTCCAACAAGTGTTAACTTTGTCTTCTGCTCAGGCTGAAATCAGTGTTGGCCAGGGCTCAAGATCTGATGCTCGGGATCCTCTCTCCAGGCCACTGTTTAGGGAAGAAGTCAGCCCCTTATATTTGTAGGACTGAGGACTCAGCTTCTGTCTTTTTTTTTTAATGTTTATTTTTGAGAGAAAGAGAGAGAGCATGAGCGGGAGAGGGACAGAGAGAGAGGGAGACACAGAATCCGAAGCAGCCTCCAGGCCCTGGGCTGTCAGCACAGAGTACGACAGGGGGCTCAAACCCATGAACCATGAGGTCGTGACCTGAGCTGAAGTCAGACACCCAACCGACTGAGCCACCCAGGTGCCCCCTGAGGACTCAACTTCTAAAAGGCCTCTTGTCATTTCTCAACACATGACCATCTCCGTGATATTGGCAGCCAGGTAGCACCATTTCACTACTAAGAGAACTGTGGGGAAAATGTAAAATGAACAAGCAAATAGTGGGGAAGGTAAAATGAAGCTCAAAGTATTTTATTAACCCAAATAGAGAAATATAAATGAAAT